TACTACCTCCGTCCTGGAAAGTTTTATCATATTGACTTTTCTTGATCAATAATGAAAAAAAGTTTGGAAAATGATTTTATGATTTTATATATCTATATGGTTTATAAATTTTATATTTTTATGAAAATGATTTGAATAATGAATATTTTGTTATAATTTTCATATTTAAAATAACTTTGTACTAAAATATATTATTGGTCAAAATTGACTGTCATTTAGCAAAACATGTCAATTTCGTGAATCTTTTGGGGCGGAGGGAGTATAAATTGTGGGTGAACATGTGATTTTTAAAACTTTCATGACTATAATAGTAAATATTTTGGTGGGATTAGTTAACGAGTACTTCGCCCGTCCCAATTTGATTTGTAAAAGTTGAATACCACAAAAATTAAGGAAGATAATAACCAAGCTTTATGATCACATTTTATTTGGAGGGTAATATCATGAGTGGAAAGTGTGCATGTCAGAAAGTCTTAATTCCAAGACTGTCTTTAACACCTTGAAACACTAGCCTCCATATTCGATTTCAGAGGCGACCATATCCTGTAATGGCTTCTAATGCAATGACCATTAATAAACTCAAGGAAAATCACTATCCCAGTTGGACTTTTATTGCAGAAACCGATTTTTAGTCATAGTCAACTATATGTTGCTATCCTTAGGATAACAAATCGTGTTGGTCTAAATATACCAATTCACGCGGAATGTAATAGGCTAAAAGATGAGACTGTGAATGTACTGTTGCAAGTTAAGAAAAATTTCAATAATTATAATCATTTATATATTCTATGAAACTACGTTTTAGCATATTGTCGTAATAATTCAATAATCATACAGTTATTACCGTTTTCGTTGTATTACGAAGTCTATAATCATATGCTAAATATTCGGATAACTCACTCACGGGTGCACATACCAAACCGGAAGGGCAAGACCAAACATAAATAGTTATAATATACATAGAGATTAAATATTTATCAGACCAGATGACCAGTTTAGACCGAATCAGATCAGAAAATTTGAGTCTAAATAAAAACATCCTTAATGATTTACAAAAAAAACATCAAAATATGTAGACTTTTATAAGCTCATTGTAATATTCAGTTCATCTTCAAAGATTGTCTACAAGCTTTGGAAGTCTATTAATTAATATGTTCACCTTTTAGTTATATACTCTCTAGCTATTACTTCTTATTATCTTTTATTGCATTTACTCATTTTATTTACATAAAACTTTCATTAACTAATATTATTAGCAAGTACTCCCCCGTCCCGCTAATATTGTCCTATTTTACATTTTCGAGAAATCTCATTAAATTTTCTCTTACCAAATTTGATAAAGTTTGTGTGGTTCTAAATAATTCTTACTTTATCAATTAATATCAACCACATAAACACATCTTTTTAAATAATCGTGTCACATCATTCCGTGTCAATATTGGTGTTAGTAATATGGTACGAAGTATAAAATTATTTAATTTGAGATTCTAGTTAAGTGATCGATAATATGCAGTCTTGTTAACATGATATTGATTACTTATTATAGTGTTTCAGTTTTACTCCGTCCCTTTGATTACCGCAAAATTATGTTAGCATTACTCGTTATTCATATTTTATCTTACGTAGTATTTATTTGCAGGGGCGGATCCAGAAATGAGGGGTGGGGTAGGCTAAGCAGTAAAAATATTTGTTACTACACACAAAAGGTTTAGCTTAGAATTGTTATCAAACTGAGATGTTTTCGAACTACTCGATTTTCAACGTGATTTTGAATTTAATTTAACCGCCTGAGTTTAACGAGCTTTGAACTCGAAAACATGCTAGATTTTGAGTTTGAATAGTTATTCAAGCCGAATTCGAGCTTACAAATGTTCGGTTCGATCCGGGCTCTAGCATAAAAAAAAATACTTCTAAAATTTACACGTTTTAGTAAGTTTTTAAAAATTTATTAATTAAAGATTTTAGTATTTCAAAATTCAATTAACTTTTTTATTCTTTCTTACATGTCCACACATGAAATACATCACTTTCTAATCTTCAATTGTGTAATAAATAAATCATTCCCTAATATTTAATTCTTTTTTTAATCATTATAAATTTACAATGAATAAACACTATTTTATTATATAATGCAAAATTTAATTAATAATCAAATTGATTTACAATCTAAAAATAACAAAGCTAAAACGAACACAGCGATACAATTACTCCAGACCTTCCGTGTTAATCAATATGTGTGTGTGTATACATACGTAATATTAAATGAAATAATTACATATTTATGACCAAAATAAGATTCTTTATAAAAACGTGATTAGTGACTAGATAGTATTAGAATAAAAATAAACTAGGGAAAACAGTCAAATAGGTCCTCGAACTTTCATAAAAAAGTCAATTAAGTCCTTCTATAGGAGACTCTGTCCGGTCGTCGTGATTTGGGGCGGTTCCCGGTGGAATTTTTTGATGAATTTTTTTGAGCATCTTATTCATCAAGTCTAGTTTACTCATACCAAATTTCAGCTAAAAATTTAATCGGGAGAGCATTCAAATTAATTCGAGAACGCAAAAATGCGCAGTTATCTTCAAGAATTAAATTGAATGTGTTACTGATTGAATTTTTATCTGAAATTTGGTATGAGTAAACTAGACTTGGTGAATAAGATGCTCAAAAAATTTCATCAAATAATTCCACCGGGAACTGCCCCAAATCCCGACGGCCGGACAGAACCTCCTATAGAAGGACTTAATTGACCTTTTTATGAAAGTTCGAGGACCTATTTGACAGTTTTCCCAATAAACTATGTTCACGTGTTAAATTTAAATTACCATTACACTAGATTGAATTGACGATTTGTTATATCTTTGTAAATAAATTTTATTTTAATTATGTGTTTTTAAAAATTTCATATTAAATTCTTAGACGGAAAATGTTATTCTTTCATAATTTAATAATGATAGTACGATATAATCCAATTAAAAACATTATGTAAAGTTGGTTTTAACAAAATTTAAAATAGATTTTGATATAGATGGGTAATAAATTTAGACATGAAATCAATTACAAAATCTTAAAGATGCAATAGAAATATACTTCCACATATAATATATGCGAATGAGAAGTATAATATCAGCCGAGTGTGTGCATTATTTTGTTAGTATTAATTGTTTAGTTAACTCATTAGTTGATGGATAATAAACATTATAGTGTATTGGAGCTCAAATGGTACGTAATATATTTCTAAAAATCAAGGCTTAGACCAACATGTGAATGTAGTTGAGTGGATGGGAATCTGAACACCATTCAGCCAGCTCAGGTTCGATTCCCGCGTGCGACTCTTCTTGAAGTGGACCGTGTTTCATTTTTACGTGGGCTAGGATTAATTCTGGGATGGGCTGGATTTAAATCTTCTACCTATACTAATTAAGCCCGAAAAAAATGGGCTGGGCTGAAGCCCACCCATTGTTTCACTTGTATTGACAAATGAGTCTAATTCATTATATTCAACTACCATTTTAGATTAAGCAATAGTCTATAAATTTATACAATAGATTACAATTTCAGCTCATTTTTTCAAACATAACCTATAACGTACTCCTATTAGTGTATTATTTTAGTTCACACTTAAGTTATCATTTTGTGAGAGTTTCGAAATTTGAAGTCGTCGTTTCAAAGGTGAATATTAGAATCTTTTTAAATAATGATGATACCCTCTAGCTTGAGTGACGAGTGACAACTCCATGAATTCGAGATTATGTAGTATTAACAAAAAAAATTGTTAAGATCCGGGATTCCATTCTAAAAGGTTAATTTGATAGGAGAAGTAGATCAGATCTTAATATAGTGTTTAATTCTTTCAGAGATATCCGGTGTGGGACTTTAACACCCCTCCTCACGACCAGACACGTCGTCTGGATCGTGCCGTCGTTCATTTTTCATCGGTTCGCCATGATCATTTCTTATAAGCTTGTCGTCATTTTTCATAGGGACCCACACCATAGTTATGGATCGATTTGGATCTGATACCATGTTAAGATCAAGGGTTCCATCCTTGTAGGAGAAGTAGCCTAGATCTTAACATATGGAGTAGTGTTTAATTCTTTCAAAGATATCTGGTGTAGGATTTTAACAAAAATAAAGGATTTAAAAATATAGATATAGCCAAAATATTTATAAATATGTTAGTCAACATGAGTTGGAGAAAATTTAATGGCCGTAACTTCTTACTATAAATGTCCAACAACAAGTTTTAAAAAAATTTGAACACAAGTCCTTTGCTAGGAATGAAAAAATGTATCCAATAGTTTGACAAGATTTAATGATACAATGCCGTTGGCATGACGGACATGTCCACACCATTGATTCCATTGAAGTCTTATGGAGATAATAGATTAGAAAATGTCCCTAATGGCAAGGACACAGATTGCCTTTATGTCATGGGGCAAATGTCCCTTATTTTTCATAAAATATCTAACAATGTCTCTAATTATCTTTTTGTCATAAAATATAATGGATCATATGGTTAAGAAATTCATTAAATCGGATAAAATCATAACATATTACCTCAAACAGAACCAAAATGATTTAAACCGACATTTTTATTGGCAGTTTTACGAAAATAACAATTATAGGGTATACTTCTATGTCTCATTTTATCTATATTATTTTTTTTTATGCATTATTCCAAAATAAGTGTTATATTTGTTTTACAACATTTCACTTTATTATATCAAATCTCAATTTTGTCTACGATCAACTACAACAGTTTTTACTTTTTCAACCATTATTTATCAATTAGTAATTGTACGCATTTGCTGTACAAACTACCTAATTACCTATGTGCACACAAACTTTTGCATGAGTTCTTGTTTATATTGGTTTTTTTGAATGACTTCTTATGGATGTGCACAACAATTGTGTACAAATCTTATGTACAAATGACTTCTTGTTTATATTGGTTTTTTTGAACCGTTAATAAGTACGTGATTATTCAGGTAAACACCTTATTACAGTTACAGGTCAAACCTTTTTGCGGATCCTACTACACTCTACAGGGATTCTCGTTCGTTGGCCGTCCTCTCAAAGCGTTCGATAATTCGAGTGCCATGCTCAATCTAGCTGAATATCCTACACAGTCAAGGTGCCGCGGAATCTTCCGCCAGACCATTCCATTCAAAACCCCTCTAACCCGATTCCAATCGCCCTCAACTGCAGTGACCCGACCCACTTCCTGCCCTCTTCAGTGGAAATCACGAACTGGATTGTGCTCAAACGCCTTAAACAATCAACGGGGAGCTGGAAGTCATCTTCTCGAAACGAAGAATATCGATGACGCCTATGGTTTCGACGACTACAATGGTGATGATGAGGATGAGGACGAGGATGGCGAGTTTGTTCCTGTGAGGAATATGAATGACTGGGTTGATACTAAACCTCGAGGGTTCGGGGAAGGGAAGACGTACGATACTTCGGTTGAAGAGAAGCTGATGAAAGAGATTGAGCAGAGTAGGAGAGCGCAGCTTGTTAATGTCAACAAGCTGAAGAACAATCCTGTAAATCCAGGTTCCAAGAAAATTCAGACCCACCAAGAAGAAGGTTAGTGTCTTTTTTTTACTTATTTCTCTGAGATAATTTTTATTATGTCTTATTAGTCTATCTAGTCAATGGAGGAACTTTTAATGAATTTACAGAGCTTTGGGCTTGTGGGTTTGATAGTATGCCTGGAGTGAAATTAGTGGAAATGGTTTAATGAGCTGGACCTGGTTATATTGTGCTGAAATAGCTTAGTGAGCTGAATCATCTTCATAAAATGTATTTATTGTTTAATAAAATGAAGAAATGATACAGAAGCCATGAAATTAGAAGTGTCATTTATCTTCATTTCATCAAAATAGTAACTTCTGTGGCCTGCACTTTATTATCTTTGTATTTAGCAATGGTGTCAAATAAATTTAGTGTTTAGTAGAAAAATCTTGTACATAACAAAAACAGGCTCGCCAAACAGAGCCTAACCTCCTTTGTGTAGGTCAGGTTAAGACCAAGAAGCTTAATCTATCTGCATAGAACTAAAAATCAATATGCTAATGAGCTTGCATGAAAATTGAAAAATCTAGCAGATGTCAACTAAAGATTTATATGTGCAGTAGTAGTGATACAGGCAGGGAAAGGATTAAGAGATGAAGAACCAGTCATATACTTCATGATGGAACCCTTATTTAGTTCATTAAGGTTCTAGAGAATGGAGAACTTATTCTAAACATATCATTAATGAATGGAAGTCTTATTTAACTCATTAAGGACACCAGATCATTTCATCATCATGTTTCTTGAACCCTTCCCTAAGCCATTTCCTCCCTTTATCATTACTCATAGTAGGTATGCAGTACAGACTACAGAGTCATTGACAAAATGCAGAATCTTGTAAGAATGAATATCATGAAGTTATTATGTTTAGTTACTTTGTAGGCTTGTAGCTTTTTTTTTTTTGCATGATTACTATTATCATTACTGGTGAAACTAATTTGGCAGTAGCATACTGGAGTTCCTTTTTACAGCATCAACCCACCCTCGTGTACGCTTGATCAACCTTCCTAAGAAAAGGAACATCCACAGAGATCTAAATCTGGCTTTCAAAGGATTCCCTGGAATTGTTGACATAGTCCCACTCGTTTCTGGAAATCGTAAGACCAGGGACCCTATTTGCAAAGGCATTGCTCTCATTTATTTTAAGTCTGAAGATGGAGCACAGAGGTAGACACTTCATATTTTGTATTTGGCTATGTGGCACCACCTACACTCCAAACTGCCCTCTGGAATATTTTGTTGTTTAGCACTCAAAAACAAAGCTGGATTAAAATAAGAAACCTCAATAACTTGAAAACTCATACTAAAAGTTCATGAACTGCAACAAACAGCTAAACTCAATTAGAGACGATGAAGCCTCCTCTCTCTTCTTCTTCCTCATTATCTCTCCTGAAGAAGGTTCGTCTTTCTTCATTTCTTGATAGGGATCTGGACACTCTTCCTAATAAAAATATTAGGAGAAATTCATACTAATAATCTATACTTTAACAGATTCTACAATATTAATTCCTACTAAAAATGTTGATAAAAATAATCCAAACTCATAAAGTCATTCACACAGCTACATTAATTGAAACGGAGGTAATAATTCCGTTTGATATTGCCGTCATACTCATTTCTGGTAAATCCCACCTTACTTTTCTGCACCTTGCTTCTCTCTTCTACGCTGCATCCCCATTTCCGATTCCCCTTATTTTATTCTTCTCCCTCTCTTTCAACAAAAAATCATCTTAATTATTACTTGCTTCCACTCCCAGGTGAGAAAACTCAAATACAGAACACTCAAATACCATCACATATTGTCACCGAATTTACTCTCACAGTCTCACCTGACCCACTCACCATGATTGATCATCAAAGAGAGGCTCCGAATTTTGAGATTAGGATTAGGTCACAAGAAAGAGTTTTCTCGAATCAATATTTAGAGAATGGAGTATATGATTGTTCTGTATTTTGAGATTAGGAATAGGTCACAATTTATTTTGACGTCTTTTTCAAAATAAATGGAGTATAAATCAATATTGGGGTTAAAGTGATTTAATGAAAAAAGAGGAGAAAATGCTTCTAGTTAGGGATATGAAAGTAGCATAAACAAAGACGGTGGAGTTGTGGCGACGGGTCTGTGATTATTATCAGACGGAATGTTTGACCCTGTTTAGTTTATTCTATTTATGTGAACTAGTTTAACCATTTGGATTATTTATGTTAATATCTTCAATAGGGATTATTATTGTAGAAATGCGAAAAGTAGGGATTATTAGTATGAATTTCACCAAAATATTATTAAGTACTCCCTCCATCCCACTAAGATTGTTCCATCTTTCCTTGTGGTTTATTCCACTAAGATTGTCCCATACCAAATTTGGAAAGTTTGTGTGGTTCTAAATCATTCTCACTTTACAATTTAATACCAATCACATAAACTCACTGTCCTAATAGTGTACGGAGGTAGTATTTTTAATAATGTACAATAAAAGGGTCTAGGCCCTGTAACTAAGTAGCAGTGTGCTGGACCATAAGAAAAAGAATAAATAAGGGTAGGCAGAAAATTGGAATCGGGCTGGGATTTGGGAGAGGGAGACTGCTGGAAGTGTCTCAACTCTCAACCTCTGTTCTTCTCGTTATTTTCTGTTTTCCGCATGGTATCTTCATCAATATACTATGAGTTTCTGCTGCGTTTGCTACGTTACCTATCATTGGTATCCGCACAATCGATTCCTGTCACCTGTAAATGGTTGCTACTCGCGCCAATATGAAAAGCAAACTGGAAACATTGGAGCATAACGCGGAACACAACAGTGAGGAGTTGCGAAACATTCACACGACGATTGCGGAGTTGCGCGGATTAATTATTCAGCAGGATGGTCGTTGTTCGCGAGGCAGATCCAGAACCACCAGGCGCAACAACTGACATGATAGCCAAGCTTCATCTGAGTCCGAGGTTAATTCTCAATCAATTTCAATCAGGCGTTACAATCGACGTGATAGCCAAGCTTCATCTGAGTCCGAATGTGATTCTCTATTAAAGTCTTCAGGCATGAGGATAGTGTTCATAAGATGCTTATGAGAACTGGATGGAATGTTGATCTTCCACTTTTTAATGGAGAGGATGCGTACAGGTGGACTATTCGTGTAGAGAGGTTTTTTGAACTGAATAATATTAGCGCTGAGGATAAAATTGAAGTGGTGATCATGGCCATAGAGGAGAAACCGAGAAAGCTTTGAATTGGTTGTAATGGTGAGAGGGACAAACAGCCGAACACGCCTGGGAACAATTCATAGGTGCCCTAATTAGACGCTTTCAACCGGAATTAGTTCAAAACCTTTTTGAACCAATGCTGAGTGTTAAGCAGACCAGAGCGTGATGGAGTATAGGGAGAGGTTTGAATTGGTAGTATCCCCCTTCAGACATACATATACAGAATGGTGAACCGGTAGGCGTAGCGCAACTGGTAGTGAGGGAGTGCCACAAGAGTTAAGTCTCGGGTTCGAATCCCGGCAACTGCGATAAGGGGTTACCATGCTGAAAAATGCATAGGGCCTCTGCAAGTACCGGGGACGGAGCCCCACTCTCTATCTGTCAAGTTGTGATTATAGTCCAACTTACATCCTCCCATCGTGCTGTCCGGTCGGTGTTTGGGGCCCCTCAGGGATGGGGTGTCATCCTTTTTTTTTATATACAGAATGGTGAAAGGTATATTTTTGAATAGATTGAAAGAGGAGGTGAGAGCTGAGTTAAAATTGTATCTGTCTAGATCTCTATCTGAGTTAATTGATAAGGCACTGCTGTTAGAAGAGGAAAACACAGCTCTGAAATCAGGGAGATTGAAGGAAGAAGACAAGAGAGTTTAGAAGGAGAAAGGGGGGACTGTATCCAAGCCTCAGCAGTGGATAGAAGGGCACTGGTGGAGACATGGGAGCCTCACTGAGAAGGTTTCTGCTGACAGTAAAACATGGGAGGGAGGCTCAAGGTTGACATAAACAGAGTTAGAAGAAAGAAGTGAAAAGGGGCTATGCTTCAAAGGTGGAGACAAATGGAGCAAAGAGCATGTTTATGGAATGAAACATTATCAGTCCTGATGGAAGATCTAGAAGAAGAGAAGGCACCAAATGATTAGCGGTATGAACTGGATGTAGCAGAAAACCCGTTGAAACAAAATGTCAGATTAGTTTCTTACCACCCACCTTGGGGACAAGGTGGTAGTCAAAGGGGGAGTGATGATAGGGACCCGTCCACCCTTCCTAATAAAAATATTACCAAGCATTTTAATAGTGTACAATAAAAGTCGTCTAGGCCTTGTAACTAAGTAGCAGTGGGCTAGCCCATAAGGAAAAGAATAAATAGGAGTTGGACTTCGAATAAGGGTAGGCAGAAAATTGGGATAGGGCTTGGATTTGGAAAGTGAGACTGCTCGAAGTGTCTCAACCTCTTTTCTCGTTATTTTCAGTTTTCCGCATTGTATCTTCATCAATATACACGAGTTTCTGTTGCGTTTGCTGCGTTACCTATCATTTCTCCTAACTTTTCTCACCTTCCTCATCTTCCTCATTATCCTCTATAGCAAAGATTTCTCCTCCATTTTGACCGACATCATTTTCTCCTCCCAATCCAATCGTATCTCCCGATATCACTCCCTGAAATCAGTGAGAGTCATGGTTGTCACGGCGTCGACTAGGCGTCGCCTAGGCGCCGACTAGGCGTCCTGGCGATGGAGAAGGGTCGACATGGGAGATCGACTCGCCAGAAGAAGTTATGTCGCTCTTGGCGTCGTCCAGGCGTCGACATGTCGTCCAGGCGCAATCTAGGCGCACGCCAGGGGAAATTAAAATCTCAATTTCTCAATAAATTCGAGTTTAGAAGCCCAGCCCAAAATATGATTTAGAAAGTAGAAATTTAGGAACTGAAGCCCTCTGAGAGTCTGAAACCCGAAGGACAATCATCGACTCTCAAAACTTGAAGGCCAATCAACGATTCCCAAACACAGAGCATCGCTAGTCGCTACTTCTCTTATGTGTGCCTCTGTCGCAAGGTTGAAGACGACCTGCAGTTGCTGCTTTATCCTGTGTCGCAAGGTTGAAGACAACCTGTGATCCTAAGTTGCAAGGTTGAAGACGACCTTCGCTTCTTCTCCAGCCTTTTATTTTAGCGGTTCTTCACTTATCACTTTATGTAGATATACTTCTTATTATAAAATATTAATGCTCCGTATGTTTTATATGCAATTAAGCACTACGTAGTATACCCACTAAAGTAGTTTAATTAATTAAGTTGTACACATAGTCGAATGATTTTTTATATATATACATGCATACATAAACCTATTTTCCATTTATTAATTGTTGGTTTCAATTCTAGGTAATATACAATTTAATTAGTAATATATCATACGTAGTATATAATATATAATAAATTGCAAATTAAATACATTCAAATACATTCATATATATATATATATTAATATATATATGAAATATAATATATTATATAATGTGCGACTGGTCGCCTAATTGTCGCCTAGGCGGGCGCCTTGTCGCCTAGGCGATATGGCGGTCGGCTGGCGCCGCGACTCGCCTTACCGCCGTGACAAGCATGGTGAGAGTAGTCCTATCCATTTGATCTTTTTTTTTATTCAAGGATTTGATGCCAAGCCTGATAGATAGGTTAAATATTTTTATTTACCATATAACTATATAAATGATTGTTTCAAATAATAGAATCTCCTGCCAATGAACCCCACACGGATGCAAGACAGATATAGAGTTTGTGGATGAGTTAAGTCGCCAACTAATACTCGAGTATAAGTTAAAGTTCTAAATTCGCCAAGTAAAGAATGGTTGCGTGATGATTTTGACAATCTTTGTATTTGGAAAAATGGAAGTCTTTGCATGGGATCACGGCTACCTTTATAGGTTTTACAAGACATAAAGATCCATTTCATACTCCAAAAATGAGCTGGCACATCGTTGAACGGTTGCACTAACTGTCCGTTATTCTAAAAAAGGTCTCTACTGAGCTACCTTGACCAGTTGTCATGTGGCTATTCGGTCAGGATGACGTGGATTAGGGCCCTATGGGCTGGCCAATCTTGTAGGAAATCTTGGTCGGCTTCCTTTGTGAGGTTAGTTAAGTTAATCATGTAGCAAGCCCAAGTCGCTTCCTTCATGTGGTCAGCCATTCCCGCAACAAGCCAGGGTCGGCTTCCTTTGCGGGATCGGCTGGTTCCATAGCATGACCTGGGTCGACTTCCTTTGGGGTGTCAGTCGTTCTTTTGTGGCTCAACCTGGTCTATGAATCTGAACGACATACCTGCACGTTCTCCTAGTATTCATTCCGGTTTCACAACCCAATTAGGCAACTCCTGCTCCCTTAGTCGAGTTGGACTTTACGAAAGTATTGAAGTCATTCCTTGTTCGGAAGTCATGGTTCGGCGAGAATCTGCTCTCACACTGGATCTTCTAATGCAATGGGTAGCGACCAATACAGGAGATTATGCTTCCAACAGCCCCATAATCTGACAATCCAGTGTTGGAGTAGAAATTTTCCGGCTGTGGCTTCCTGACAAGGAATGACTTGACTTCTTCCTTTCGTCAAGTCTTGAAAGTCTTCAACTTTACTAACAGAGTCAGAGACTCGTGATAATGTTGTGGATTGGGGATGGATACCAAAAGACCATTCACGCAGCTGGTCCAAGTCGGCAGAGTAAAGCTCTAGACTTGGCATAGGGTCGGTCAATCCATGAAGGAGGCTGACCCAGGTCGTGCTATGTAGCCTGCCAACCCCGCAAAGGAGAATGACTTTGGGTTTGTTATATGATTGACCAACTGCACAAGGGGAGCCGACCCAGGATTAGGCGAAGTCCTAAATTGCCCTGGCTAACCACCCGCCCACCTCAGCAGCTGGTCAAGGTCACTTGGTGGTGAATGACGTTAGAGTAGACACATGGTGTAAGCACCCCATGATGTGCCCACTTATTTCAGGTGCACAAAGTGGACGGTTACGTCTTGTAAGCTTACAAATGCAGCCAAAATCCCATGTAAAGGGCACATTTTTTCCATGTACAAAAACTTCCAAAATTATTTCGCAATAAATCTTTACTTGTAGAGTCTCGCATGTCAATTTTTAATTGAGTTTTTTTGTCATAACTTCGAAGAGCCTTCAAGCGTCCTATTTTAGATCAACATATACCAAATAAATTACCTTAGTATTTTTAAAATTTGAAAACATAAATTCTTCTTGTTTAACTGTTTATCATTGTTAAGTCATTCACATAGTCCATATAAAAGTACAAACTCAATGTAAAGCTTAGAAGTGCCTTTTTTTATCATCTTGGCCTTTAAAGATGGAACTCAAGTCATTATATTGTATAAATGCCATAAAGCTCTAACTTCATCATTTTTTTTTGCTACGAATTATTTTCCAAATGGTGATGAGATGTTTTCTGGCCAAAATGGTAGATTTGTAGAAGCTTTCTCAGGGAAGACAATAGATTTTGGTAAGGTTCAGAAGCATATAAAATGTGAGACCGTATCCGGCCCCTCCAGTCCCAAAAACTTACAATTAGCAGATGAAAGTAGTCATGATGATTCTGATATCTCAGAAACCGATTCCGATGGAGAAGTTTCTGTAACTTTTAACTTGTGCGACAAACAGATTAGTGCAAGTGAAGAAGGGGTTGGAAGCAAATTTTCCTTGTCTGCTATTCATCAAAAGAAAATAGAAGTAAATGAGAAGAAGAAGAAAAGAGCTAAACTAAATAAAGAGAAGTCTCCAAAGTTAAACATTCCCGGATCTGCTAGGAGGTAATGAATATCATCCTATATCTCACGGTTTCAATTTCTGCTGTTCAAGAACTTATTGGCTAATTTAAGACATTTTTTCAGGCTAAAGATCAAAGAGAAAGCTCAGCTTACTGGAGTTCTCTCCAAATATGGATCAAACGCTCCTGCATGATGGACAGCATGAAGCAATTATCAATTATCTTACTAACCTCTATAAAGTACTAAACCACCCGAACCATCACCAAATCTGTAGTTGGTTTCATTAGTGTGCCTTTGTTGTATCATAATCAATATCTAAGGGCTTGTTTGGTTCGAGGTTTCGGAGGGAAAGGGAAGATAATTTTTTATCTTGCTGATTTATTTGTCTTCTAGTTTTAAACTTGAAATAATTACATGATTAATTAGATCATGTGTTTCTTTATAGTTTTATCTTCACTTTTTTTTTCAAACGATTCAATGTATCAGTCAAATAAGTTTGCCATTTTAATCTAAGTTGATCATTACCCCAAATACGTCTAATCCCCCCTTGATTACCTCCATGGAATCTCCTAACGCTTTTAAACCGTCTTGCACACATAAATTTATAACATGACATGCACACTGTTGATGAAAAAATCTACCCATCAAAGTATTGGCACCACACAACTCACGCAATCTAGGTATAGCAGCAGTATTATTAGTAGCATTATCGAAACCAATAGCAAACACCTTATCAATCAAATTATACTCAATTAAAATACACTCAATCAAAATATAAATATGTTCAGCGGTATGACGATCATTAAATTCACGAAAAGCAAGAACACGTTTATGCATATTCCAATCCTCATCAATATAATGTGCAGTCAGACCCAAATAATATAAATGATGAAAATTATCCTCCCATATGTCAGAACAAATAGTAACACGCCCATCAAAGTTTGCAAAAAAATTTTGTAACCTTTCCTTTTCCGCTTTATAAAGCCTTATTATTTCTTTCTTAACAGTTTTGCGACTATAATTTCTAAATTGAGGATTTAAACTACCTTGTGCATAATCTCTTAAAGCAAGACTTTCAGAAAACATATAAGGCAAATTTTCTTCACAAATTAAGTTAGCCATACCAGTCAAATTTTGTGCATCATTGTAGGAGAAATTACCAAAAGGTTGAGAATTCGCAAACCTCGATATTTGAGTTTGCTTCCCCGTTCCGCCGCCTAATTTTGCATACTCCACGGGGTGCTTTGCCTTAATATCCTTGCGGCGGATCCGTATCCGCCGGAGGTTCCCAAACTATAATTGTTGTTGCACCACTTGCAAGTTGCGTGCCAATAGCCGGTTTGTGGGTCCTTCCATTTATCAAAATTATTTTTCATTAGTTCAGACTTACTTTTTTTTATTACCGGTGGCAGTTTGGGATGAGGGAGGCTCGTCGGCGTCGTGGCTGCCGGCACCCTCCTCCTCGGCCGTCCGGTTCCAATTCCTCCGCATCTTCATCCTCAAGCTCCTCTTCGTCAATGGTCGTCGGCATTTGTTGTTGTTGTAGAAAGCGGTTATTATGTCGGGCCAATTCTTGTTGGAGTTGTTCTTCGGACATCGCATCTCCATCTCGCCTTTGGTAACCCGTTTCAAAATCATCTCGGCTTTGAGATGAAGAACCGGCAAGTTCTTTACCTTTGCGGGATTTCTTCCTCCCAATCTCGTTCCTTCGATTGCGTTGGAGGTTACCCAAATCAACCGAATATCTACCACCTTCCATCTTAAAAATTTAACAAATATTAATTGACAACCAATATAATAATGGATACAAAACTAATGCAACTAATTAAAACTATTTTAATTAATACTTCAAAGTAATTTAGTGCAAAGTAGAATTAATGTGTGACTTTAAAATTAAAATTATACCAACTTTTGAAGTACTTTAATTTAGTAAAACTACTTAAATAAAATGTTAAGTACTTTAATTAAATGATTGAACTACTATTTCTTCCTACAAATATAATGAATTATAGTTTATTAACTATAATAACAATTAATGAGAATACTAATGAAGTAAATAACTAGTATAATGAAAAATGTAACAACAATGCTAATTAACTAATTAACTAGTATAGTGACAAATGTAACAAGAATGCTAATAAACTAATTAACTAGTATAATACTAGATGTAACAATAATGGTAATGAACTAATTAACTATTATAATGATAAATGTAACAAGAATGATAATTAACTAATTAACTAGTACAATACTAGTTATAGTAAGTAATATATAATATAATGTTTATAGTATATAATATATAAGTATACTACTATAAGATGAGTAATACACTTATATTTTATACTTTCATATATAAAGTATATATTAAGTAGATGTAGAATGTATGTATTAAGTGGATATAATAATTCTGTAAGAATTAAATATTAGAGTATAGGAGAATTGGAGATTGGAAAATAAGAAAATAAGTATATATAAAATAGATATTATAAAGTATATATAAAAGTAGATATTATAAAATAAGTATATATAAAATAGATATTATTAAGTAGAGAAGTAGATATTATTATGTATTAAGTATATAGTAATAGTTTATAAAGTATATTTAATACTTTATTATATAAAGTATATATATTAAGTAGATGTAGTATGTATATGTATTTATAAGTAGATAATTAATATATAAGTAGATATAATAATTGTATAAGTATTAAATAGTAAAATAAAATATAAAGGAGAATAAGAGAATTTGAGAAGATGAATATGGAGAGTTGGAGATGAGTAGAGAGTAGGATTTAGGGAGAGTTGGAGAAGAGGTGTGAAAAAATGTTTAAAATTAGGAGTATTTATAGGTTTTTTTTAACCCCCCATCCCCCACTCCCACCCCACCCCACCCCACCCCAAATGCCCCGGACCCCCCTGGTACCCCCCAACGGCTATATAGCCGTTTGGGAAGTGACTGTTGAGCCAAATTCTTTTTTTAAAAATTAAAACAATTTTTTTTTAAAATGACCGTTAGCCCCGGGCCCGGGCCCAACCCGGCCGGGCCGGGCCGGGCCACCAAAAACAGAACCCTAGCCCGGACCCGCTTATCCCACCGGTTCGGTGCCCGAACCGGACCCGAGAACCGGGCCGGTTCCGGGCCCGTACAGTGCCGGGCCGGGCCGGTCTCGGGCCGGGCGGCCCGAATCGGGTCCACCACTACACGTAACTTTTGTTTTCGCTCAGTGAATTGTGTAATAAGAAAAAAAAGTAAGGTTGGAGTTATGTTTCTGGCGGTATTGGCAGAAGTTACTGTAAACGACCATTTTAGCTATTTTTACATATAATTGTTTCTTTATTTTATTATAAAATTTATCTTAGAAATATTTTTTCTTAAAACAACAGAATCAACTAATGCAACTACTTCAGTCAGAACTTCATAAATTTCAGTAAAATCAATCAAATCAGCCGATTATGGTGCTACCAAATGGGCTCTTGAAGCCTTGAAGGTGTAATAGAATGGCTTGACTAGAGCGTTACAAAATTCTTTTGAAGGTGGGCACTGTATTTTAATTATCAGTCAGTAATGCGGAGTAAATAATTAAAATACAACTGCATAAGTCTACTCTGTAGTATAAATTTCTTCAAAAAGAAGTCTGTATTGTAAAATTATAAAAACGTGAAGGCACGTACCTACGTAAATCTAGCACTGAATCTGATAATATGAAGAACATTTATGAGATTTTTTCACAAATAGTATCATTTTTTCACTTTATCCCACCCCAAAAATAGACAAGATCTATAATCAGCCAAGCATTTCAGTTTAGCTGGTTGTAAGGTTACCGTACCTAGTTGGAGGTCTTGAGTTCGAAACCCGCTAGACACATAAGGGTTCAAAACTAAATGAAGTGAGTTTCAGCCCTGATTACTCCAGGAGTCCAGGGCCTCCAACCCCTCCCCTAGACCCGCTGGAGTAAAAAAAGGCCTATAATCATTTTTTTGGTTAACTGATAGTGGGCCTTAAGAAGTTTTTCTCTTCGCCAGATCTGAATGTTTCTGATCTGAATTTTTTAAGTTCTGATCTGATCTGATCTGAATTTTTCTGATCTGATCTGAATTTTTCTGATTTGATCTGGTCTGATCTGATCTGAATCTTTCTGATCTGATTTGATTTGAATATTTCTATAGTTATAATTATAATTATTATAATAATTAATATAATTTAAATAAAATTATAATTATAGCCATAGTTATGAAAAATTATAATTATAATTTTAATTAAAATCAAACTTATAATAATTATACCTATTACTCTAATTATAATTATAGCTATAATTATATTATTAATACTAATTATTTCTATAACTATAATTGTAATTATAATTATAAATTTATTATAATATTTATTTACAATTACAATAATTATAATTATAATTATAATGACTAAGTATATTAATTATTATAATCATAATTATTATTATAATTATAATAATTATTATAATACTAATAATAATTATTAAAATTTTAATTATAATAATACTCCTACTACTAATAATATTAACGGTAATAAAGTTATTATTATTGTTATTACTATTGATATAATAATAATAATAATAATAATAATATAATTATTAATATAATAATAATAATAGTAATAATAATAATAATAATAATAATAATAATAATAATAATAATAATAATAATAATAATAATAATAATAATAATAATAATAATAATAATAATAATAATAATAATAATAATAATTGTTATTATTATTATTATAAACGTGATAAATCATGTTTGAACTTTTCTGATCTGATCTGAATGTTTCTGATCTGATCTGAATCTTTCTGATCTGATCTTAATTTTTCTGATCTGATCTGTTCTTAATTTTTCTGATCTGATTTGATCTGAATAAAATAAGAATAAGCAATAAGTAATAAGAATAAGACGAACATAATAGCTTCTAAGTCCGAAACAATGTAAACTCTATAACCAGTACCCAACATTTAGAATATACAGTGTTCATCATCTTCCGCAATTGCTATTTTTCTGGTAATTGAGTGCCCAACCATGAGCCATGGAGAGGAAGAACAAGCATGAAGCCCCCCTCTAGGCCGGCCTCAAAAGGTCACCAGTCATGTGACTGTGATCTTCACCCCTTGTGTTTCCTCTTCGTGGCAGTTTGCCACTGGCATCTGCCACCCTGCCACCATAGCGGACAACCAACATTTAATGATTGTTTTTTTAAACTAACTAAAAATGCTCGCAACCTCCCTCCGCTGCAAAGCAAACAAATGTATCAGAAAAGCAAGAGAATCTAGTAAAGTGACTTATACCATGACTATTTACATATGGCTTAAGTTTAATAAATTCACCACTAGGATAATGAAATGATGGAAAACTTAAAAAACTTTTTTAACTAATCTATGAAATGGTGGGAATATAGTGGACACTTCGGATTTATTTTTGAGTGGGTAAAGCCATATGTTTTTTTGGGTAAAGCCATATGTATCCGGTATAGTAATCAACAAATATAACATAATATTTGTG